GTCATCCTCATTCTTTTGGGTGCATCTTTAACCCGTGTCTGGATTTCGAGTTCGGCCGGCGCGCCTGCCGCACCCGTCTTCATCGAAAACCTCCACACGGAAAACCCCCACACGGACACCGTCACTGTTACTGAAGTAACTACTAAAACACTAACTGTCTCTCCTTTGCCTACTCCTACACCAGCAATCTTAATTGATCCCCTCCCCGCCACCTCCCTTGTTGCTCATGCCCCTGGATCGACTCTGTTCAAGGATTTATACATGTCCGATGGCGCGCTTTTTATCGTATCCGACAACCCTTTCGATTTCCCGGAAATACGGATGATGACCAGCACAGGCCTTGCTGCCGAAAATACTCCCCAAAATATTGCAGCACGGGAACCGACGTCGCGCAACATGGTAATAATCACTACAGCGCAGGCTAGAAGTCGCTGGGCTGGAAATGGGACGCCCGATAATCGTATATTTACTGTCAACGGCAACACCGTACGTGTAATTTTATATTTCTGCTAATTGTCTCTGAAATAGGCAACAGGTTCTGGTGAACGAACCGAGCCAATTTCTCCGCCATTTCTATCACTTTGTTGGCGAACTCTTCTTCGGAATTCAAGTCTTTTGGCACGGCGCCTTCTATCGGAACTCTGCTCCTTCATCGTCAATCCCCCCAATCCATCGCGTCATGTTCTCGCACTCCAACGCGGATGGCTGGCACGATGCTCCCGGATCCAACCCATACTTCCTCCAGGCAGCATTCCCGTCCGCTCACGTCGAGGTTCAGGAGGACTGGGATGACAGGGTAGCGCTCACGGCCCACGGCAACCGTGTCTGGCACTTCCCTCTCCTCTTACTGAGCGACCGCAGCGCCGCACACCGAGGAAAGGTTTGTGGATCTCAAACCCAGCGCATAGCATCCGAGGCGTGGAAGCACATGCAGGCGGCGCGCCAGTTGGTGGGTATTCGCGGTGCAGAATGGTGGGAGCCGGTGCGAACTTCTGTACTGCGGTTTGCGGGTGCCCCAGCAGTCTCCTCGGACGATGTCAGTGCTCAGGCAGCTCTGGCTCGACTCTCCGGACTAGAACCCGAGACCCCGAAAAAGGTGGTCATCTCTTATATCTCCCGGCAGGCGATGACACGGCGGAGATTGGCAGATGAGAGCCATGCTGGGTTGGTCACTGCGTTATCTGAATTGGTGAAGAGGAAGGGTGAATCATGGGAGTTGAACATACTCGCGGCAGAGACGATGACCAAGGAAGAACAGCTGATGATCGCTGGTCGAACAGACGTGCGCTGATTCCTTCAACCCCCATATCCAAATGCTAATCTCCGAAACCAAGTTCTTGTGGGCCTTCATGGTAATGGGCTCACTCATCTTATCATGATGCCGCCAACACCCATATCAACTGTGATCGAAATATTCTACCCTGGCGGTTGGGCGCACGCGGCACGATTACCAGTGGACGGCCCGAGCACTCGACAAGAAACATTTCGCCATATGGAACGATAGGTGCTTTTCGTCCTGTCCTTTTTGGAACGTACTCTCATTCTTCCTACACAGCTCGTTGACGTTTCCCGATGTACCTGAAGTGCCCAGCTACCCTGAAGGCTTCCAGGAAACGACCATACCCGTTCACGGGCCGACTGTCGCTCAGCTCATTGAAACCCATCTAGACGGGAAAATATAACCCCTTGATGTTCATTTCTTGTCGTGTTTGGGGACAGGGGGACGGTGCCAGGTGTAATTACCTCCAAGCTATTCACAAAACCCTACTTAGAATGTTAACTAATATGTATCACCATGTCTTTCATTCACGGTTCCTCAGTGCGCGTGCTTCCCGGATCTTGGCGGCATTGAGCACAGATGAAAGTCCGATAATGAATTGGGGAGTCCCCCAATTCCCTGGCAAGCTGTCGGAGTCTCTCACGACGAGCTCTATTGGTGGGTGAAACGGGGGGTGCCAGGCTTGACGACGATTTGTCAGGGAAGGGGCCTTTGGGCAATACCTCAGGATGGCTGCAGGGCATAGATAATAAATAAGTGCTCACCTTCAGGCAACGTGTAATACGACCGCTCCTCCTGCTGGACAGCATCAACGAGCTGAGTGGCAGCGTCTCCTGTCATACCGAGTTTTTCCATCGCCTTCGTCAGGGATTCAATACGGAAAGTTGTGGATACAAGGGCGGCAAACTGAGATTCCAACTTGGACATGGTGGGAGGAAGAGATATCAAGTTGATCGGCGGTTTGCTTTCTGACTCTTTGCTCTCGATCGCCGCAGCCCTCGGTGCCGCCGACTTGAATTTTCCAAGTAACGCCCTTCGTTGAATTCCTCCCGGATCGCTCGTTGACGCCTCGAGTCCTAATGTCGGTGAACAGCTCCTGAGTATTTAGGGCACTTGGGCTGAGACCGATCTGTTGAAGGAAGCCATCTGAAATTCTTCGCAGACGAAGGATGAATTCTGTACTCTTTGGTTAAGCTCTCGAACCGGCAAATGCCGGCGCACAATCGGTGGCTGTGCAAAATTTCATCCTTCCTTCAATGACGCGCCCAGTACCGTCGCTGCCGCCCCCGAGCAAGAAGCGGAAAATCCAAAAGGACTCAGAATTCGTGAAATCTGTTGAACGGCTCGAAGAGCGGCTCACCTCTGCCGCAGCCGCCAATGGCTCATTAAATCCGCTCGCGGACCTGTTGGACCTGGCATTTACTGCCGGTGATGCACAGGACACGTCAAAAGCCATCTACGCCCTATACCGGGTGTTCGTCATCGTCGTGTCCGGCGGAAAACTGGGCCCGGGCGGTGACGAGGCCGCAAAAGTTGTCAAAAGCTGGATATGGGAGAGGCTGAATTCCTATGTGGATTTCTTATGCGGCTTGCTGAAGGACGAGGAGAAGCTGCTGCGTGTAACTTTCCTTTTCTGCACATTGGCCGGCTCTCATCTTATCCTCCATCTCAGATATCGGCGCTGCAAATATTATTTTCGCTTCAAAAACATCTATCGACTTCTGCGAGCCTATCAGACTCTCAACCCCAATTCCACATCTCCCATTTCCGGAAGATTGTCTCCGGCCTGCTTTTGTGCCCTCCTTCCGGGCGCACAACGCAGCGCAACGAGGGCGTCCTGGATCCTGACGTGCTTCATCTGTTTCACGAGACGTGGTTCAGCGTGCACGATGATGTGCGGTGGTTTTTCCTTCGCGAGGCCGGGTGCGCTTCATATTCCATTATTTACCAACCACCTCTCATCGTTCGCAGGTCGTTAATAAACACCACCTCTACTTCTACCCACCCTAATCTCCCCGCAAATCTCCTGACTATTCTGGAGGGCCTCAACACTTTCCCTACGGAGAAAGCCGAGCTCAACGCATGGTGGGTCGTGGAAATGGGCTCAAAACCGCCAAAGCCAAAGCCATCGAAGAAGGGCGCCGTAAGCGCGGAGGACTTGTCGTCTGACGAGGAAGAGGCGGCGGACAAGGGGGAAGACGACGACGACTGGCGCAAATTCTTCGACGAGGATACAGCGTCCTCCGACGCGAATAAATCCAAAACGCCAGCTGCGAGGTTGCATAAGCTGACGATCCACCAGTCATTGCACTCGCTGCCTTCTCATCGCGCGGTTTTCACCCGGGCGTGGCTTGCGCTGCTGCCGAAACTGTCCGTGGGACACGATGTCGTGACAAGCAGAGCCCTCGCACTCCGTGCGCTCAATGTGATGCACCGGGGTGTTATGCCGCACTTGACGCGACCGGTGTTGGTGATGGATTGGGTTGGTGGTAGCGTCGACCATGGTTCGTGGTCGTTTTCATCGTACTCGAGATTTCTTATTCATAATTCCCCCTAGGTGGAACTGTCGGGCTTCTTGCACTCAACGCTCTTTTCGTGTTGATGAAGGAATACAATTTGTAAGCGCTTTTTTTCACGCTGCTTGAACAAAAGCTTCATTATCTTTTCAGAGACTACCCTTCGTTCTACACGAAGCTGTACGCATTCCTCGACCGAGACGTGCTGCATTCAAAACACCGCGCCCGGTTTTTCCGCTTGACCGAGCTGTTCCTCAGTTCAACGTTTGTCCTTCTCTCCCTCTTCCTTGTACCCCCACTTATTGATGAGTCCAGGCACATCCCAGCGACGATGCTTGCCTCCTTCATCAAGCGCCTCGCGCGCCTTTCGCTCTCCGCGCCTCCCGCCGCCATCATCATGATCATCCCCTTCACGTACAACACGCTCAAGCGGCACCCCGCGCTCATGGCCATGATCCACCGCCCTACCGACGGGGACGCGGACGCGGCGGCGGACCCCTTCGACGTGGACGAGCCGAACCCGCTGCTGACGCGCGCGATCGAGAGCTCGCTGTGGGAGCTTAACTCGCACCGGGAGCACTACCTCGCTTCCGCGTCGACGCTGAGCAAGATATTCGGGGAGGCGTTCACGAAGCCCGGGTACGCAATGGAAGATTTCTTGGATCATACGTATGGGACGGTAAGTTGCGTTTCTCTTCCCAGCAAGCGCCGAATGCTGATGTGCGCGATAGCTGTTCGACGCAGACGCGGACCGGAAGATCAAGAAGGAGCCGGCGGTAGCGGTGGACATGGGGAAGCAGCTGGATTTGTTCCGCGGCGACGAGGCTGAGGAGCTGGGGGGAGACGTCGTTTCGGAGCTGTGGAGTTTTTCGGGCAAGTAGATTCCGGGACACGACGGTTTTGGCGTGTACGTCCCGTACTAGACAGCTTACTTCGCGGAGCTGAGAGTGGAGGAGAAGGTCCCATCTTGGTGGGATTGTTACTTGTTCACCCTACTTAAGTCAGTTTCATCCTGGCAAAAAACCACGGAAAATTTGGCGAGTCATTCAAAATCCACTTTATTGAATTGTGTTCTGTCATTTTGCGATACCGCTGCCCGAGTATGAAGCCCAGCAAGAGGCCGGGGTGAGATACTTTTCGCATCTTGCATGTGATTGGCACGTCCAGGTCCCTCCTAGTTACAAACGGGAGCTCGTTCTTTTATCGCTCTGGTGGTCTAGTAGAATGATACGCGCTTTGGGTAACGCATGTTCTTGTGTAATATCGATTGCGCGGGGTCCCGGGTTCAAATCCCGGCCAGGGTCTTTTACTTCGCTTTTTGTGGGTTTTTTTTCGGTTGCTTAGACCTTTGGAGCCTGCTGATTGATTTTCACCAGAACAAGATTGAGCGGAATAAAATTGGTGGTTTTGCTTGTGGACCACGTTGCTTTTATCTGCGAGCCCCTGAGAAGGCCAGTTGTGCAAGAGCACTGGAGAACGCTCAGCGAAATATTTTCCAACACTTCCAGTGTATTTAATAGTCTAGCCAGACGCTTGAATTGGTATCTAAATCGTTCCTCGTGGTGTATTAATGCTGGAATTTTAAGTAGGCCGCACAAAATACGATACCATCCACCAAAGTTTTCGTGCCCCAGACAGCCTGCGATTTAAGGATCTAGTCCGATTTATTCCGACCCTGTGAGGGTGTTGTAAGCCGCATTATTAATTTCTTTCACACTGAACGATTCGATCTCCCACATCGGGCCTTCCACTCGACTTGATTTAAAATATAGCCAATACAAGGTCATGGTAATGTCAATTTTCTCCACCGGAAGCATGCTTTGTGGATACATGTCCCGCGTAGAGACTTGAGTGCACTACCGAATATGTATACCACTGAACATGATGCACCAAAGATCCATATCCGACTTCTTCGCTCTTCTACAGCTCCTTTATCTAAAACCCGGCGATTTACGCACGTATATCCTTTTTTCTGAAGCCCGCCCGCGCCACTTGGACGTTTACATTCGCGGAAAGCGGTGGTCTCACGACTTGCCTTTTTGGTCGCAAAGCGGTTGTTTGCGGTTGTTGTGCTGTCCTTGGGGGTCTCTGTGGTGTCGCTTGCATCGAATTGGAGCGCTTATGTCGCGGATACAGTCTTCGATTATGTGTGGAGTGCGGGTCGGGGTCAGGAACATTGTGTGATATGAATTGGAAACCGGGGATTACCCTGATGGCGGTGGGGCAGAAGCCCAAGGAATGACGTCGTGTGATGGCATGGCCCGAAAGCAGCTACATGCTACTTTCACTTGTCCTCAACCTATGCCCTCTGCCGAACGCGCACCCTTCGCTGATTCCTCATCGTATGTGTACCCTGTGCGCTCTCTCCTCAGCGGGAACATCCAGCCCGCCCGCAACGCGAACCTCGCAGATGCTGATATCGTCGATATTCTCGCTCGCCGAGCATCTGGCACCGCAGAACAACGCGTTAGCTTCTGGACAAAGGATGTAACAGATGCAGCAGAGAAACCGCCCTTCGTGGGGCGCAGGAGATCTGCGTCAGACTCCTCGGCGACACCGCCAGGCACCACCGTGTCCGCGCCCGCGAAACCCCGGAGACGGCGCCATCGCTCCAACATCTCTCCAAACTTTAGACACTTTCCAGCAGAAGACTCAGGCCCCAATCTTCGCCGTACATTCACCACTTCGCCCAGCCTCAACACTTTTATACCCCCTGATCCCCTCGCATGCTTTGCCCCATCAACGTCCCTGGCTGATGTTGCCTCGCCCGTCCCACAACCCAAGCCCTTGCAGGGCCCGCCACCTGAGCCGCGGGCGCGTCCAAAAAAGGTCCCCGTCAGCGACGACCCCTTACCGCCAGAGGAAGTCCCCGATGTGACTATGGCATGGAATCCGTCTCAGTACGGCCTCGTCCACCTCCCTCCCCTGCCTCCCACCCCCCCACGCAGCGGTCGGGGCATGTCAGTCGGCACCGGCTCAGTCAATGGTGGCAGCCAAAGGAGCGGCGCAGGCCCCTCCAGCCTGTCTGGTCCCTCCTCTCCGCGTCTGGCCCCCCCGGCCGATGAACTCCCACCATCTGGGTCCGAGGGCTCATCCTTCTCCAAGGGCGCGTCCGGGTCCGCCAAATCTTCCCTCTCAAAAGACGGATCTGGTGTCGTCTCCTCCGAGGGCGTCTCGAGTTCTGTGTCGGGCTCAGACGCGACCGACATCTCCCAGCAGTTCCTCACCGTTCGTTTTCAACACGTTCAGGACGAACACGGCCACCATGTTATCGTGGGACGAGAGGGCAAACTCTCCCACTGCGAAGACGAGGTGCGCCCCTTTATCTAGCCCCAAAATCAAAGCTAATCCAATTTTAGCCCATTCGCGCGCCGGGTGCCGTGCAGGGTTTCGGTGTCTTGATTGTCGTCGACGAGCTGGAGGATGCTCTCGTCGTCCGACAGGTCTCAGAAGTGCGTACACCTCTCTTACACTCAACTGTTCTGACCTCCGCCTAGAACGCCGAAGAACTCCTCGGCCTCTCCCCGCAATACCTCTTCTCGCTCGACTGTTTCACCGACACGCTCCCAGAGTCCCAGTCCGCCACCCTCTGGGACACCATCGGGTCCCTCTCCGAGTCGGACTTGAATTCATGTGACGAGGAGGCCTCGCCGCACGTGTTTCTGCTCACGGGCTGGGGCGCGCCGGGGAGCGCCGCGTCGGACGACCTCGAGGCGAGCGGCAAGCGGCGGTCGTGGACGTGCTGGTGCGCGGTGCACCGCCCATCGGATCCCACGGGCAGCGGGGAGAACGGGCTGATCATCATGGAGTTTGAGCTCGAGCGCGACACGCTGAACCCGCTGTACACGGCGGAGGAGACCATGGTGAGCACGCCCGGCGACGGCGCGACGAGCCCGCCCACGGGAAAGGGCGGCGGCGGCGATAGCGGGTCGTCGACGGACGGCTCGGAGCAGACGCTCCTTGGGGCGAGCGGGACGCCGCTCGTGTCGCCTGAGGCGGCGCCCAAAGAGGAGAACGAGACGCTAGAGAGCATGTCGAAGAACTCGGATGAGACGCTCGCGCCCAAGGCCAAGAAGGCGGAGGGCGACGCCGGTGCTACGGCGACGTGGGCGCCCAGCGCGGAGGATATCCTCGAGAGCACAACCTCGCGCGCAAAGCCGCTCCTCGCGCTCGAGCGCCTGCGCCGCATCGCGCGCGGCGAAACGCTGCCCCCGAGTGCCTCCTCTTCTTCTCCGTCGTCGCCTACGCAGGCGCGCGCGCGGCGGACGCGGCGCTCCGGCAGCGGGAGCGCGGCGGGCGGCGTGGGCATGATGGACGTGTTCGCGGTGATGGCGCAGATCAACGAGCAGCTCGGCGACGCGCCGGACCTCCCGGCGTTCCTGCAGGTCGTCGTCGGCGTGATCAAGGACCTGTCGCAGTTCCACCGCGTGCTGGTGTACCAGTTTGACGAGTCTTGGAACGGGCAGGTCGTTGCGGAGCTGCTCGACTGGAGCAAGACGCACGAGCTCTATCGCGGGCTGCACTTCCCCGCGAGCGATATTCCGGCGCAGGTGCGTGTTGCAATTACTGTGTTTTGGGTTGCATTCGAGCTCATTCTATCTTGTTGGTTGCGGTGGAATAGGCAAGACAGTTGTATGCGATTAGTACGCCGTCCGCCGTCCTCCTCACTCGAACCTGCTGACGCGCTGACAGACAAAGTCCGCCTTCTGTACAACCGCTCGCAGAACACCGCGCGAATCGTCGTACGCAGTAAGGAGGACCTAAAGACGCCCTTGGTGTGTCTCTCCCGGCGGCCTTGACGACGCCCTGTCGGATTCCGCAGCCATTAACCGACTTGCTGACACCGTACGCAGAATATGACGCATTGCTATTTGCGGGCGATGAGCCCGATACATGTAAAATGCATGCTCTTTTGTTGTCTACGTGGTCTGAATAGCTGACTGATGCGTGGATTGACTGCAGATCTGGAGAATATGGGCGTAAGGGCGTCGATGTCGGTCGTGCGTGTCTTCCCTTCTATCCTTTGCTTGAACCGTGCTGACGCTCCATTTCTCGCCAGTCGATCATGGCGTTCGGCCAGCTGTGGGGCCTCGTAACGTGCCACTCGTATGGCGCGCACGGGATGCGCGTGTCGTTCCCCGTGCGGCAGATGCTGCGGCTCCTCAGCCAGTCGATCTCGCGCAACATTGAGCGCCTGAGCTATGCGCAGCGGCTTACGACAAGGAAACTCGTGAGTGCCCCGCCCGCATTACCAGCATGGGACTGACGTAGGATTCTGAGCGCAGATCAACACGGTGGCGTCGGACAACCACCCGGTGCGTAAATTCCCCCTTCGCTGTAGAATTTCGAAGGGGCTCATTAGCAAGCAAATGAATTAGACGGGGTACATCGTGAGCAACGCAGACGACCTTCTCGGCTTGTTCGATGCGGACTTTGGGGTGCTCGTCGTATGTGTTGTAGTTCTGTGGTGAAAGGACGGGCTAATGATTGCGCTTCGTCTTTGTGTAGATTGGGGAAGCTGCGAAGATGCTGGGGCCGAATGAGCACGGGCAGGAAATCCTTATTATGGCGGAGTATTTGCGGCTGAAGCAGTTCACGTCAGTGCAACCTTTCTTTACTTGCGCTCGTTTGCCCGTCTAACTGCCTAACTGGGCACAGCACGATCCAGGTCTCGCAGGGCGTCACGATGGACTTTGAGGACCTCACCCTGAGCGCGGGGCTCGAGGTCGTCGCGGGCATGTTGTACGTGCCGCTGTCGAGCGAGGGCAAGGACTTCATCTGCTTCCTGCGCAAGGGGCAGCCGCGGCACGTACACTGGGCGGGGAACCCGAACACCAAGAACAACAATGACGCGGTGCTCGAGCCGCGCAAGTCGTTCGCGACGTGGTCCGAGACGGTCGCGGGGCGGTGCCGCGCGTGGACGGACGAGCAGCTCGAGACGGCGGGCGTGCTTGCGTTGGTGTATGGCAAAGTGCGTCTGAGCACGCAGTGTATCGAGTTGTTGACTGATTGTATGGCATGTAGTTCATCGAGGTGTGGAGGCAGAAGGAGAACGCGCTGCAGACGACACGATTAACAAATTTGCTGCTTTCGAACGCGTCACACGAAGGTGAGGACTATTCGAGTGTTCTTTACTGTGGCTTTTCCTCATGTTTTGTTTAGTTCGAACGCCGCTGAACCATATCATCAAGTACGTGGGTTTCATAGATGATGCAACACAACTAACGCGTTGGTTCATAGTTATCTTGAGATGGCGCTCAACGGGCCGCTGGATGACGAGACGCGCGACAATCTTAACCGATCG